TTAGATTAAAGTAATTGGTTGGGATTTATGGGGTCATCATCCACTTGGGTATGTCTGTCATGGATTATAGTGAGTGGTGAATCGTCCATATGCTGTCTGTCAAAATATTTGATTCTACCTAAGTACTCTCCTTAAACAATTCCGTCCTAAGTACTCTCCTTAAACAATTCCGTATAAACTAATACTACTCCATCTAGGTGGAATTATGAATAAAGATTAAAGATGTCATTAGATCAGGCTGGTTTGAGGCACGATATGACCCATCACGAAAAAAGCACGATAGATTCATCATGGAAAAAACATAATATTATATGGGTATATAGTAGGAACATCAGGACATGTTATTGCACGTGTTGGACCGTAGAGTAGGCTAAATTGTAAAAAGAAAAACAAGGCACGACACTACAAAGCACAATAAATTTAACGCTTAGACTGCAAGTCCAACACGACCTAACAGGTGGCATGTAGACTTGGGCCAGTCTTTTGAAATTTGGACACAACATGTAGCTCATGGGTCAAGGCATGCACTGAGCCAGCTAACCCAAAGCATATGTGCTCTACACGACCCATTGTCATGTTTCAAGTTGATCAAGTTAGATATGAGTATATATTCTTTTTTTACAAGTTACACTAAAGTAATTAGTTATTTCCTTAGTTAATCATAGTTTACATTCTTAAGTTAGGTTTTATTTAATTTTATTGTGATCAAATTAATTGCATTATAATTTCTGAGGGCATTTTGTATCCATATTTATATCTTAGTAATTTGCTTGATTTGAGAAAGATCCAAATTAAAGGAGGAGATGAATATTAGTGTAACTTGTGCATGATACAACATCAAATCATCAAATTAAGTTAGAATCAACCGATTAAGTAACATTATTCCAGTGGAGCTCAAGGCTGAGTCAAGTAATTCAAATCGTACAATAAGATAAGAATATGGATTAACTTACTGTCTTAGATATAGTTACCGATTAAGATATATTTTTGATAAAAAGTAAGAAAATTGTGGGAATATAGTGTATAATAGAAGTTTCAATTCCTAGGAACGTTGAATTATGTGTTGGCAAAACATATATCCTTATTGTAGTTGTTGTTGGTTTCAAAATTCTTTTAAAATACTTGAAGCCAATGGAATCCAATTCGGTTCAAAAGTGGCCACCTTATTCATGATATTGTGGTACAAGAATGTGCGAATGGAACTAGGTGTCGCAGGATCAATAACATTATTTTAAGTTGTACAACAACATGATTAATATTTAATTAAGGTATTGAATTATAAATTATGATAAGAAACTGTTGGAGATTGTTTACTAAAGAAAATCACAGCCGATAAGGATTACAAATCTCTTTTTGTTTGTTTTATTTTTCGGAGGATTACGTATCTTTATCAAGTGAAATAATTGGGCAATTCATAATTCATAAATATAAAATTAGAAAACCATTCAAAATTTGACAATGAAATATGAATTGCACACTTTGTAAGGGAAGCGATCATATTCTTGATTAAGGCGGACTTTTATTAACTACTGTAAAATCGGGTTAAAGTTACCCTTATATATATACTATAAAAGTTATCATTTTTCTAACATTAAATTTACCAATAAAATACACTTGTAATAGATTAATCCTATTAATTATTATTATTATTTTTAATCATATTGCTGATCAGAGCATGTATCCGTTAAAAATAATTAGACATTAAAATATAATCAAACTCATCACAAATTAAAAGTTACCTTTAAAGAGTTAAAATTACCATAAAAATTGTTAAAGCTCCTTATAATAGTATACTTGACCTTCTTTCAATAATATTAACATAAATCCAACACCTTACACATGACTTATTGTTTCCTTATTAGCTGAAATAAAAACACAGTTAATTTTCTGTTTATAGTAAATTAAAATCTAAATGGGTTATATCACTCATGCTAAGTGTAATTAGAGATTTATTGATGAATTAACAATGATGTGTATGTATTTAAATAATATGGAGTAAAATCCAAGGGTTGTAATATAATAAAAATTTTCTTTGGTTTTTAGTTGAAACATCCTGTTTCATATTTTCCAATTTCAAATTGTTACGATTAACATTTTCATTTATAAGGAAAAATTGTTTCTAATAATCCCATAGACCTTCGACCGATTTGCTGTTAATAATTCCATCTTTATCAGGCATTCTCTTTTATTGGTGGGACCAAACCGCAAATCAGCTAAAGGTAGGATTAATAAAAGCTGTTTTATTAATTATAAATAGGTAAAAATTGTACAAAACTTAACAATATTACCCTTTCAAAATTAACTGCAAGATCCCTATTGCCATGTTTGAAAGTTCATATTTTTATTATCTATTACTTGAGCCCTTTCCCTAAATAATGTTGGGAAATTATCTAATTCCCAAATTACAGCTAGTCTTTTTTTAATTCCCACCATACCGTCCACGTCACCGGTTCAGTGGGAATTTTTAAAAAAAAACGGGTTTATTAGAAAACCGCTACCTGAAGTAGCGGTGTGCTACTGAAAACCGCTACTTCAAGTAGCGGTTTACATATTAGAAACCGCTACTTGAAGTAGCGGTTTGTATTTACTAATTACTGATTTACAGATATTTTGTTTTTAAAGAAAACTTACAAAACAAACCCATAAACCGCTACTTGAAGTAGCGGTTTTAATTTCATAAACCGCTACTTCAAGTAGCGGTGTTTTGAGGAAAACCAAACCGCTACTTGAAGTAGCGGTTTACAAAATTATAACCGCTACTTGAAGTAGCGGTTTGTTGCTGGACCGAGAAAAAAAAATCGGTTTGTTTTTCTTAGCTGACGTGGACGGTATAATGGGAATTAAAAAAAGAGTAGCTGTAATTTGGGAATTAGATAATTTTCCAACATTATTTAGGGAAAGGGCTCCTATTACTCAGACAAAGAAATCATGATTGTACATGTACTAACTGCAGAAACGAAATTCAAGTAATGCCCCATTCACTTAACCTTATTTTTGCTCGACTGAAGTTAATTTTACTGAATTGAAATTATTTTTGCTAAACTGAAATTACTTTTATCGATTCTCTATTTATATATATATTTCTTCTTTAGAGTTACTGATTTTTACTGAACTAAAATTATATTTACTAAACTGAAATTATTTTTACTAGACTGAAATTAATTTTACTAGACTGAAATTATCTTTACTGAATTGAATCTATTTTTACTGAATTAAAATTATTATTGACGAATATTATTTTTTAAGGCGAACTGAACAGAACCTAATTATAAGATCCAATATATAGTGGAATATGTTTTTTTCCCCGATTAAAATGAGACCATATTAGATGGACTCATGGACCACAACTAGATATCTTATTTTCATATATATATATATATATATATATATATATATATATAATATATATATATATATATATATATATATATATATATATACATCTTTAAATTGATTTCGGTAAACAGTATGAAAATTAGCTTAGGTGTTTGAAATATATAGAAGTGCATATGATCTAACAAAATCTAACTTGATAATATATTTTATTTTCTTTTATATTAGAGCATACTTGTAGTCAAACCTCAAAAGTCTCAGAACTTAGTTAAATCAAGATACTATATCAAACTAATGATGTGATCTATTTATCTAAATTTTTGGTTAACTGAACTTATATGAACCTATATAGTTTTATATGAATTTATTAAAAAAAATAAATTGAATTTGAGTAATTTTTATTAATTCTTATCAAAACAAATTATTTTTACTGGATTTATCTTAGGTGAAAAAAATAGGCCTTTGATAATACTATGCCTAAAATATATAGTTCGAAGCTTGAAAAATCTAAGCTATGTAAATTTCAAATTAGAAACATCGAATATTAATTGAAGAAAACACATTCATAGTTAAATTAATTCATCAACATAGAAAACAATGTGTCTTCTTTTCCTTAAAACTCGCTAATCTGTTTGGGAATGAAGACCAGAAGTGGGGGAATGTGTTCTTCGTTAAGTTAATCGTGTCATGATTCACGAGTCTTCTTCATTGATGGACCCCATTTATTGTTTTACTACCAAACATGGCAGTTTATTTTCTATCCAATAGACCTGTCAAACAGATTTAGAGAATTTGGAAAAATCATGTATTGGGGAGGAAGAAAAATTAATTTTCAGTTTAAAGGATCATGCTTAACACAACCTGTATTGTAAACAAGATTTCTTAAGAGTGTCTGTAAGAGACTCAAAAGTAAATTAATAACTGAGTTTGAGACATTTCTATAATTTGTCTTCTTCTATCTTACAACTGGCATATGAGTGTTTTAACCTTAAACTAATCTGTTGTGAACTGTCACCACTCTGTCCTGAAGAGTTTTATGTGATCACGAAAACCTCACTTCAAAGAAAACACGAGTTAAGTTCTTATCAACAGAAAACTATAATGAATTGTTTGAAACTGGTAAAAAAATAAAACTAATTAAGATAATCAAGTTCTTACCGTATTAGAATAAAATTGATAAGTTAAAGTTAAAACCTCAATATGACTTGATGAAGCATATGGTTTTAATAACCCTAACACATAGTGAACATATGTCCTAGTGAGTTCAATTGTTTTACAACAAATTACATAAATTTATAATTTAAACAGTATCTACAAGTAATTGATGCAAGAAAATCAAATTATATTCCAAAATTTAATTATCATAAAGTGATGTAAAGGTAAAACTCGTGTAACCTTTATACGAAATTCTCGTGATATCTAACATGAAAACGAGGCTTTACATAAAATCGAGCATCGTGTGACATATAAACTTATTTACATTTTCTATAAAACCTTACCATATTTCAAGGTGAAAACAACAATTGCAAAGACATTTTGGAGAGAATTTTTTTTTGGAATAACAACATAACAAAAGGGAAGAGAGTTAGAGAGGTCACTCATAGTATAAATGGACCCACAAATGGGATCTTCGACTATGACAGAGACGTTAGTCTCCTTTTCCCTCTAATTCTCTCTTTCTCTCTCTACACTCAACGTCTTTGTTTCTCTCCCTTCTTTGATCTAATTTGCCAAATTATTTTTCATTTTATTTTTTATTAAAAGAGACACCTTGTTTGCTTTTGCGCAATTGCACTTACTTAACCCTATTTCAGACAGAAAAAATTAGTGCTTTGTCATTGTCACAGTTGGAAGACAAAGGCTTCAGTTTCACATCTCACTTCTAAATTGGGTTGATTCTCTTCTCTTCTTTTACCCATTTTTTTCTCCTCATCTTTTTTTCTAACTAAAGGGTGTTTTTTTTGGATTTTATTGTATTAAAGCTGGTTTTTTTTCTCATAAATTTCAAAAATTTCAGCTGAAATTCATCTGGGTTTTTTATTTTCTGAAATGGGTTGTCATTTTTTTGCCACCCTTTTAAAACCATGATGTTTTTTCATCTGGGTTTTCAATTTTAGTCCTTTCTTTATCAAAAAAAAAAGATTGTTTTTTTGAGGGAAATTTAAGCTGAATTTGGTTGAAAATGGAGATAGAATTAGCCAACAAAGTTGCAGTAGAAAGTGGGCATAGAGTTTTAGCTCTTCTTAGTGAAAAACAAGAAATTGAAGGAAAAGTTTTAATGTCACAAACTAGTGATGCAGTTAGCAACTTCAATAGAGTAGTTTCTCTTGTTGGGCAAAAGGGTTTTGGTCATGCTAAAATCAGAAGATTCAAGAATTTACCTTCATCTTTGCCAGAAAACATTTTCTTAGAAACCCCACATTTACTTCCTGAATCTCCAGTAAAACCCATTAATTTACTCCCTGCTTCAGGAAATTTCAAAAACCCTGTTTCAGAATTTGACCAAAAAGTTCAGAATTTACCCCCAATTGCTCAGAAATTGTTTGCTGAAAAGCCTTCAATTGATTTTACTCTATCAGTGAAACCTCCTGGCCAAAATTCTACCCCTCAAAATTTATCCCAAAATCTGCAGTTTTTACAGCAGCAGCAGTTACAGCAGCAGCAGCAGAAGTTTCAGCAGCAGATGTTGCAGAGAGTGCAAATTCAACAGCATATGATGTACAAAAATGAAATGGCAAACAACAACAACAACAATTCATCTATTAGTGGTGGAAGTGGGATTAATTTGAAGTTTGATCGGTCGAATACTTGTACACAAACCATGTCATCTAATAGGTCCTTTGTTTCTTCATTGAGTTTGGATGGGAGTGTACCTAGTATAGGCCGGAACTCGTTCCAATTGTTTGGATTGCCTCAATCGTCTGATCCGAATTCGCAGCTTCTTAGGAGGAGGTGTCTTGTTAAGGGTGGTGAAGGTGGGAGTGCAAAATGTGGGAGTGGCTCCAAATGCCATTGCTCCAAGAAAAGGTTTGTAATTTTTTTTTTTTTTTTTTTTTTTGATGATCAAATTAAATCAATGTAGGTGGTTAGATGGGTGTTTAATGGATTTCGAGTCGTGTAATCTGATGTTAATGGTGTTTTGTTATGCAGGAAATTGAGGGTTAAGAGGTCCATTAAGGTGCCTGCAATAAGTAACAAGAATGCTGATATTCCTCATGATGAATACTCATGGAGAAAGTATGGGCAGAAGCCAATTAAGGGGTCACCACATCCAAGGTAGACTTGTTCAATTATTAGTACTTTCCATCATTCCATGTATATCATGTTTGTTATTATTTGTTTTAATTAATAGATAATTTTATCATGGAATTGTATTTCTTTTTATAATGAGAAAGTCTAAGAAGTTCTAATTTGGAACATATATCTTAATTCATGTTTTCATCCTTAATTGCTCCTTGAATTGCCAAAAGAAGAAGTAATAGTCTAATGCAAGTACAATAGGAGTAATTACCATGTTTATCAAATACACGATTATAATTTGTCGAGTTTAATAAAAAAATCTTTGGTTGATCAGAAATTTTGCAACTTGTTCTGTGTGACTGAAAACAGGACTATTACCAAACAATAGCCAATTGCCTAAATTATGCTTAGTATAGTATAAGAAGGGATTGTCATTTGGTGTAGAGTTTGTCACTTGTTGAAGGGTAGTAAAAAATCTAGTGATTCTTTTTTTTGTGTATAACATGCTCTAAGCAAAGAAACTTGGACAAAATTCGTGTCAAGTGGTTTGAGTTTAAATCCTTTAATCTAAATAACCGAGTTTTAAGGTCTTAATTGGACCATTGTTTGGCGTGCTTTCTAAATAACTCAGGCCGAATAGGTCTTTTCTTAGCGAGGTTCTTAGTTTAGATGCATGTTTATGTTAATTATAAGTAGTTGGGGTTCTTTTTATCTGTTTTCAAGATTTCAATTTGTTTTTTGTTGCCAAGATTCGGGGTTGGGGCATCCTTGATTAGTTCCTAGACAAAAGTCTTACCTGTTGATTTTTATTTTACATTTGCTCTTTGATTATGAATGACGATTGGTTTTGATGATTGCAGGGGATACTATAAGTGCAGCAGTGTAAGAGGCTGCCCGGCAAGGAAACATGTAGAGAGGTGCTTAGAGGAGCCAACAATGCTGATAGTCACATATGAGGGCGAGCATAACCATGCCAAGTTTATAGCATCTCATTCTTCGCAGACTTGACAGCATCAGTTGAACTTGTGGACTATGATTCAGAATTCTCAGCGTAGATACAGCACAGCCATACCAATTTGTGTTCTGTGCTCAACAATGCTGATAGTCACATATGAGGGCGAGCATAACCATGCCAAGTTTATAGCATCTCATTCTTCGCAGACTTGACAGCATCAGTTGAACTTGTGGACTATGATTCAGAATTCTCAGCGTAGATACAGCACAGCCATACCAATTTGTGTTCTGTGCTTCTGCTTTGCCATTGTATATATTAGTATTAATATCGTTGAAAACTCTATAGCCTGAAACTGTTTAATTACTAGATGTCTAGTTGAGCTTTTTAGTTCTGGTTTGTAAGGTTCGAGCCACAGACCACCGAGCTAAAACAGGAAGGCCCTTTATAATTAAAAGGTTACAAATTGGATTTCATGGAAATCTTTACTCTCTTCTTCATCCCCTTGATTATCCCCAGCAAATTCCATCCCATTGTTCATGTGATTTGCTTCCTAAATTTCTATTACCACTCTAAGGTCATTTTGAGTGGTAATGAAACTTGTGGTAATAAAACTTGTTAAATACGGGTCTAAGCCGCTCCCTTATAGTTCACCACTGCACAAGTCCAAGGAGGTTCTACCTCAAAACCATATGACAATGAGGGGAGTAACTTCTTAGCCTTATATAGTGGTGATAACACTTGAATTCTTTCAATGTGGGATATCATTACCACAATACCACTACACTTTTTTTTTTTTTTAGTGTGGGACAAGAAAATGTTCACATGTGGGTTGTTCATGGGTTCAACAAAACTTTATGATAAAAATGTACTCTTTTGGATTTTTGGAGGAGTTAAAGCATTGTTATGAACATTGGCATGAACTTTTCCTCGAAGATTATGTATAAATCATTATCATCACCTTCATTCATTGCCGCCTACCAAAGCACTATGAATGTCAACTTTCTTCGTAGAGGGCCGCAATTGGGGGATGTTATGAAGGACTAGACTTGGCAAAAGGGTCATTTGGGTCGGGTCAATAAATATTTGGGTCGCGTTTGGGTTTCGAGTCAAGTTTTGGTAAGATTAAGTTCGGGTCGGGTCAATTTGGGTCGGGTCATTTTTATGATCAATTTTCGGGTTAATTTCGGATCGAGTCAATTCGGATAGGGTCAAGTTTGGGTCGGGTCACTAAATAAATTCACTTAAAAAAATAATTGGAAAAATAAAGTAAAATTGTTAAGAAGATAAAAAAAATCGTGAAAACAGAAAGATAGAAGCCCTAAAATAAAGTAATTCACCATTTCACCCTATTCACGTCAAGAATCGGGTCACTTCGAGTCGGGTCATTTCGGGTCAGGTCACTTCGGCCGGGGTCGATTTGGGTCAATCAATTCGGGTTTAAATCGGGTTAGGTCATTTTGGGTGAGGTCAATTTCGGATCGGGTCAATTTCAGGCATCGGGTCAAGTTTGGGTCAACTCCAATTCGGATTGGGTTTAGGTCTGATTAGTTCGGATTTGGGTCATTTTCGGGTCAACTTTCAGATCTCGAGTCAGGTCATGATTGCTAGGTTTATAAAGGACCAAGCAAGCAAAGGATGTGTCAAAATTTTCTTGTACTTTATTTTATTCTTGTAATCTCGAGGCTTCATATGACCACGTACCCATGTCCAGCTATTGGCATGGCGAATCAAAGAGACTATGAGACAGTAGCAACTCTAGCAAGGTGGCCATTGCATAGTGAATGGTAGTATGAGAATCTTATTCCAGCATTCGGCTGCTTTTATTGGGCTTATTGCTCGCACACCAAATATTCTTACATTGTGCTTTTGTTGCATTAGAGAATTGATTGACATCCTTTTCACCATACATCAATTAAAAATAGTAATTCGTTCGCCTTGTTTGATTAGACCTAGCGAACTTGACCCGATTTAAAAGACTTGATCCATATGACTCAAGATTCGAATTTGACTCAATAACCATATAACCCGAGTTGTCCTAAAAAATGCAAATTTGAAATCAACTCGAACAGTTAGTTTTACCCAACATGATTTTTATTTGAGCAAAAAAATACAAACTCGAATAATTGACTCGAACAATATAATCAAAAGGAATTTTTTATTTTTACCGCCCTGAAAAAACCCAATATTGTCTTCTACTGCTTTTTTTTCCCCTTACTTTACCACCACAAGAAAATAGAAAATTGTTTCCCACCACCTTCTGTCAAGAAACTTCCGTTAAATTTAACGAAAATTTAAAATTTCTGTTGATTTTCGTGTCAAAAACATGGTTTTTAGAAAGTTCCAGATTTCGTTTTATAAGGGTTAAAGGTAGAGATTGTTTCTAGATTTCGAAATTGTGATTGTTTTGAGCAGAAATGACAAAAGTGTGATTATTAGTTTCTATTTTTTTTTAACAAGAACGCGTATTACTTTCTTCATGTCTCAATTGATACATCAAAGAAAAATCACTCACAAACCAATAAAGAGATAGGAGTGATGTACATATTTGCCCATATGATAAGCTTAACTATGGTTCCCACTTATTTTGAGGTCAAAAAATAATTTCAAACATTTTTCTTTTCAATGCCATTTCAAACATTTTTCTTTTCAATGCCATTTCAAACATTGACTTTCGTCCAAAGACTTCTAGCATACATAACGTAACAATTGCACGGTTTTTTTTTTTTTTTTTTTTCCCTTTTTTTTAACTTTGTTGCTTTATCCTGGAAATAAGGATATTGAAGCTTAAAGCTTTTGATGATGATGAACTTAAACAAAGCAAACTTCAAAATAATAAGAGTTTTGTAAGGGTTGTGATCTAGACAGGTGAAGTTGACTTTGGAAGTGGAAGAGTAGCCTAGTGTATGAAGACACATAAGAGAGCTCAAGGAAAGTTAAGGAAGATAGAAGAAGAGTTCCCTCACAGGAACTAATGAAGTTATGAAGTTCCTTAACAGGAACCTGAAGACAACAAGTCAAGAGGTTGACTTGGTCTGCGTTGAAGACAACAAGTTTTTGAAGAACTTGGTCTGCGAAGTTCCAATTTGAAACTGGAAGGAAATTGACATCAGGAACTTAGTCTTGGACTGCGTGAAGCCCAAGCATCCTTAATAATAAAAGTATTGGCGCAACAATTTAGTTTTAATAATGTCTTTATCTTTTAGAATTGTTGTAAATATGTTAAGTAGGTTTACGTATGAGATTTATTAGAAACATGACACTTGGCAAGCTTCTTAAATTTGGAAAGTTAATAAGATAAGTTTTTAGGAAAAGATTTTCTTTACAAGATTTATTTTCTTAAAATCGATTATCAAAAAGATATTATTCTTTGAGATAATCTATCTTTAATAAAATTCCTATAAGATTTTCTTCTAAAAAGATTTACTTAAAATCCGTGTTTTTGGATTTAGGAAAATTAACATGTTTTTCTTTTGGAAAACCCTACTTTCTATACAAGCAAGTCTTGTATACATAGTAGAAATTCAAATTCATTTTTCTGTGAGTTTATGCGTGAAGAAATCTAGGTGAGCTCAATTGTGTAAGTTTGCCAAGTCTTTAACTTTGTCATAGTTGTTTCGGATTTCATGCGTAACTTGCCTCTCATATATTAGAGTCTATACTTTGTAATTGGTTGGGTTCTTGGGTGTTTGTGTATGTGTAATCTTCCTTGCATACAATAGTGAGTGTAGTACTCAGTGAATACGAGTGAGTCTAAGTCAGGGACTTAGATTGGGTAGGATAGGGTCCTACTGTGTAGCAAGTTCATTCTGGAACTTGTGAGTATAGGTATGATTATTGTAGGTTTGTAACTTGACAAGTTTGCACTATTATAGTTCATTTGTTTGATTTGGAAATCCCTTAGAGGGTCGAGGTTTTACTTCCAATTGAGTCATAGAACGTTTCCTCGTAAAATATTGTGTGCATTACAAGTTCCTTTACATTATGTTTTATATTCTATGAAAAGTAGTCAATAAGAACTCACATACAATATTCACCCCCTCTTGTAGTGTTCGTCTCAACTAACAAAGGACTATCCCTGATAGGTTGTCGTACACCTGTCAAAAATAAATTCCTAACAAAACCAACTAACAATGTAGTAGGGTAAGTAGGGTCGAATCCACAGAGAGATGGCTATTCAATCTAGCTTTCAAGGTATGGGGAAACTAAACTATGTCGCGAAATTGGGATGAAAATATAGTCTAAATTAAAAGAGGGAAAAAATAATTAATAAAAAGACCTAGGGTTGTGGTTCACCATGCTTATAATTCTAGATCTATCAAATATCAATAACAATTCAATCAATCAATCTTCTAGAGCAATTGTTAAGCCTACGGTCGGGTTTTAACGCTCTCAATTCAGCATATGCAGTACGGTCGCTAACATAATCAGAATTGCTAATTGTAGGGAAGCCTCTAAAAGTAAGATCTTTCGATTCAAACTCTTATTAACAATAATCAATCAAACAATTGATCAGGTTGCAAGATTAACAATAAAACACTATCAATTAGAGATATCAATAATCAAATCATAAATAATATCAATCAAGAATTAAAGTATAAACATGGATTCCCAAACCCTAGAAATTAAACTATTCAAACATGAAAGAAATAATTAAAGCTAAATCTAATAAAGAAAGCATAATTAAAATAAAGAAATAAAATTACCTCAATGAATAAAATTAATAAACTCAAGAACAACCCATGGTGAATCCATGGAGTTGCCCACGAGAAAATTAGGGCTAGAGAGAAAACTACAACGAACGTAATAAAAAGTATAAAAAGGCATAAGGGAAAAATAAAATCCCTTGAAATATTTATAATATCCTAAAACTAATCTAAAAAATAATTAAAGAAAAGAAATAAGAAAATAATATATACATAAGTTGCAATATTATTGGATGATAGAAGATGACGTGGCATAAAACCGCAAGAGAAGTCGAGAACACGAGCTACACGTGGCTGCTTTGGCTGCTCGTCAGAACCCGCGGCCGCAGGGTGGTTCCCGCGTCCTGGCAGTGGCGGCAGCAGCCTTCGAGTGGGCGCGGGACAAACCCGCAGCAAGATCCCGCGGGTGGCTGACTGCAACGTCTGGATTCAAATGCTCATAACTTCTGTTCTAGGAAGCTTCTCGGGGAGTGTGACCTATCATTGGAAAGCTCTTCAAGTCTAGTTTCCGATGCAACTTGAATAACTTCAATCCAATCTGTAGAACTCGAGTTATGATCAAAAGAGTGAGAAAATGTCATTTTTATACTTTGCAAACCTTCGTTTTTCTTCGTTTCTAACTCAAATTCATTTCCGTAAAGTGCATAATGATCCTTGTGGATGCTATTTTCATTTCTCATACATATTAATCTCATACTAAGCTTCCACAAATGCATATCCTTCATTGAGCGACATCAATTCATCAACTTTTCATCCTTTCATTGTCCGATTCTTCCAAAACCACTCCGAAAGCG